GGTTTATATTGCAGTTAATTTATTTTGGTTTTAATTTACAAAAGTTTCTGATTTTCCCATAAGTGAGTCAATTTATATTTTTTATGCTGCAATTTTTTCTTTAACTTATATTAATACTGGAGGTAATTCTTGTTGTAATTTATTTTAAAACGCATTAAAAACGGTAGTTAATTATCTGTTAAATTTCTTCTTTAAACAAGATATCATAATTACCCCTTGAGGCAAGACACTCAACCCATTTACCCCCTTAGATAAGACAACCATTTACCCCCTTTAGACAAGACAACCATTTACCCCCTCAGGCAAGACATCACACGCCACGACCTGTGTAACATTAACCTAAAGTGCGTTGACCATTACAGCAGAGATTTGGGGTTATAAAAATCGCATCCCGACTGCCTTTGCTTTCAAAATCCAGACCGCACCGCCATTACATGCATAAATACACAACTTAATTGCCAGGTAGCAAGACTAAGTGGGCAGTTATTAATGACCCCATGATTACACATCGTTCACATCATGGGAGGTAATTCAAGTCATTTGGGGTCAGGTTGTAGTCCGCTTGAAATTAATAGGATGCTAAAACATGATGTGACTAAACCCCACGACATTTAAAGCATCTAAAACAATCAGAATTATAGGGTAATAGTTGTGGTAGTTGAAGCACCTAAAACAACAACAATTATGGGGTAATAGTTGTGGTAGTTGAATCACCTAAAACAACAACAATTATGTGGTAATAATTGTGGTAGTTGAAACACCTAAAACAACAACAATTATGGGGTAATAGTTGTAGTAGTTGAATCACCTAAAACACCCAACATAAAAATTCTTATTCAATAATCTTGATATACTGTTGATGAATTATCTAAAACAACAACAATTTGGAACCATTAATTGTGGTAGGTGAAACATTTGCACAACCACAATTCTCAACCAATAATCGTAGTAGTTGAAGCACCTGGACACTACCACCACTTAACTATGATTACACAACTTCAGCCTAATAACAAGTCCACATCTTAAGGCTATGTGTGTATATCATTACTTATAATTATTTGTACACAACATCACTAGGCTTACTTTACGACACTTATAAAAATCTATATACGATAACTTAGGTTACTTATGAGAATCTGAATACAGATATGAACTAGAGGTTACTTTACGCTACTTATATGAAATTTAACGGTTGATATATACAGTAACTTTAGGTTACTTATAAAACACAAAGTAATCATAAACAAGTGATTGTAAGTGTTCAGTGATGTTCCTCAACTGTTCCCACGTAGAATGAATTTCCCGAACGAATATTCTCACAGTATAAGCAAAGAAGTACGATAATATAACCTTTTAAGTATGATGATATAACCCTCTGAGTATTGTACTGCCGTCCTTTGAGTACAATAATTTAACCCCTTGAGTACGATCCCATTTTAGACAAGCAAAGTGGACATTGTATTTAAAGGGATAAATTATCATACTTAAAGGGTTGTCAACATACTCAAGGGATTAAATCATCGTACTCAAGGGGGTAAAGTCATCGTACTCAAGGGGGTAAAGTCATCGTACTCAAGGGGTTAAGTCATTGTACTGTAGGTGTTAAGTCATCGGAATCAAGTGGTTTTTGTGAGTAATTTAAAGGGATTAAGTATATCTTATATTTCCACTCCATATTTGTGTGTGTGTGTGGGGGGGGGGGGGTGGTCTCCAAAACACCTTTAGTGCGTAGTGAGGGAGGACCTAGTGTAAAACTCCAACTAATTAAGGCCTATTACCACACACGACCCCACCAAAGTTTAACAGGTGATGGTGTCTCGTTGTGAGGTAATTCAATTTAACACAAATCTGACTTTCCCTCGATGATGTCATACAGCGTCGGGTTGATTTTTCTCCTCTGAAGTATATCACAATGCTAATTAATCACACTGTTAACCTTTATTCTCGATTACTGAAAGATTTTTATGCAATCTGTTTTATATTTTTAGTTGTGAGCGACATTGTATTATTAATTAGTCGTCAGTGTTATGGCTGTTTTATGTTATATCTTATAAATGTTATTCTAAGATTTTATTTTAATATTCATAAGTCAATAAGTTTTGGAAAGGATGGCAATCATAACAAATCAGTCATGTTATTATGTTGGTTATATATTATTAAACCTCTATCTATATTTATTATTAACCAAACGATTCTTATCCTTTCAAAATATGTTTTTTTTATTCATTTACGTTAACTATAAATTATATATTTACTCTCTATATCATTAGTCCTTATATAAACCTTCACATATACATTTCTATATAATATTCTTCTTTTTTTTTCAGTTCTAAACATATTGCAAACTTCATTAACCATTAATAATATATTCAATCTAAGTACCACTAAATATTTATCTCAGTTTCATATATGCAAATAGAATGGAATTTAATTACATACGCCATTTTCAGATCTAAATCATATTGCAAACTCAATGGTCAATATTTTAGCTATGTATCAATAAACCTTATATTGGTTGTTTACTAAGAGCATTGACTCGTTGTGTGTCTGTGTGTATTACAGAAACATTTATGCAAAGATCTATTCATGATTCGGCCCTGATATTACCCAACAATTTTTGCCTGTATAGTGTCGTTGTGCGGACCATGTCAAATAATTCATGAAAAACATCAGTTACTGGTAGCAGCATCCTGAGGTAATGTTAATCCCTTGAGTACGATGAATTAACCCGGTAAGATATCCTAGTCCTTGAGTACGATGAATTAACCCGGTAAGATATCCTAACCCCTTGAGTACGATGAATTAACCCGGTAAGATATCCTAGTCCTTGAGTACGATGAATTAACCCGGTAAGATATCCTAACCCCTTGAGTACGAACCAATACCCAATGCTATGAATTAACTCATTGAATATCTTAATATCATAAGGACGATAACTTAACCCCTTAAGAAAGATAACTTCACCACTTGAGTTCGAGGACTTAAACCCCCCTTGATTACGATAACTGAGCCCCTTGAGTACGATGATTACCACTTGAGTTCGAGGACTTAACTCCTTTAGTACAATGACTTTTCCTATAACCCTTCAGAAAGCAGCTCCACGCTAAGGTATTGTATTCTGGCTAACGTGAGACGATTTTATTCAGCTGAGAGAAACTCCTTACCTCTGAAGGGTTAAGTGAGATCACCCTATACTTAGGGTATAGGTATCGTATTCTTGGAGTTGTTATCGTATTCTTGGTGGTGCTATCGTATTCTTGGTGGTGTTATCGTATTTTTGGCGGTATTATCGTATTCTTGGGTTTGTTATCGTATTCTTGGGTTTGTTATCGTATTCTTGGTGGTGTTATCGTATTCTTGGTGGTGTTATCGTTTTCTTGGTGGTTGTTATCGTATTTTTAGGGGGTTGTTATCGTATTCAAGAGCTACCAATCGTTATTTAAGTTAATATTAATCTAAAAAAATCTCAGCTTTGATTTTCATAGAGAAAAACTGAAACCACTTCAGAATGGCTCTACACCATTACTTAGATTACTTGGAAGTTTTAATGTGTATATAAACCAATACTAAAGATCACTTATAGTTTACTTAGAAACACCTTAAAAGTATATACATATAGAGAGAGATATTATTAAATGAGGTTTAATGATAATGGAAAGCAAATATGAAGTAATGACAAAGGGAATAGAGAAAATTGAGTGAAATTATAGGTAATGGCGAGGAAAGAGAGAGAGGTGACCGAAGGAACTAGGTAGTATCAGAGGTGGCAATATGCTCACACTTTCGTCGTGTTGTCAATGGTAAAGTAAATGGGAAATAACACGTAATAAATGATAAATCACCACGAAAATGTATCACAATCACCCAGAGATTAACCCAAATCACATCATTTATTAAGATTGCTCCAACAGTTACCCCCCCCCAAAAAAAATCACCCTCATTCACCAAAATCACCTCAAACGTTGTCAAAAATCACCCTTGAAAGTTAAAAACAAATGAATCTGTTGAAAAATTTTGTAAGTTGTTTGATAAGAGAAGCAGCGAATGGAAGTATGAGTAACAAGTATGCCTGAGGTAGTCATACTTTGTCTTTCTCCCTGTCTTCCTCCTCCTTCTCCTCCTTGGTTTCCTCGTCCTCCTGAGCTCCAGTACTCACACAAACTCCTCTTTTGAGTAATATGAGCAGGCGACTCCCAAAGTCTCCCCCCTCACATGCGATAGAGACCAACAGGATCATCAAAAAGTCCTAAAACTTATCCTTTCTTTTTGTTTACGTTTCGCTGCTCCTAATTGGTGGTAACTTAAGCGATATATATTACCCATAAGATTCTGTCAAGCTTCTTTAAGACAAGGTGAATATCTGGTCATTAGTTACGGTAATCTGCGCTTGAGGTGAAAAAAATAGACATCCTTCACGCACGATAAACATCCATCATCCTGGTCAGAAAAGGTGGAAACTGACGTGTTTAATTACGATGAAAATATATATTAGACAAGTGTTACTCGTAAGTCTTGGGGCTTTTATGTATTTTAATTACTTTTTTTCTACTAAATTATATGATTTTGTGGTATATTTATTTAAGTTTAATTTCTTGCTCATATATTTTAATACATTAATCATTTGTAACAATAGTACTTGATGTAAATGAGGACTAGGAATTCCTTACCCTCATAAATCAGATATTTTAGTTCATTCTTAATGCCAGTAAATTGTTCAGATTAAATGTATATAAAAATACATCTATATTCTTGAATATGAACGTCCTTATATACATTACTTTCTTGCACAGTATTAGCGCCGGGTTAGAGCTCATAAATTTCAACACGAACGTAAAAAGTCTTACTGTTTAAGAACTTTAATGGCGAAGTATTTAGTATACAAAACAAAGCTCACGGGACCCCACAAACACTGACTTCAGTTTGTCCTTCCCCTTTAAAACCCGCAGCAACGAAATCCTCACACTGTGGACGAGGAAAGTTGTGAGCAGGCAGCCACTCACCTCCCAGGAGCAAGACGACTGTGAGCAGCAGCAGCAGCAGCGGGCGTGTCATCTTCAGCTGTCTCGCCCTCAGGTCTCGGGGACTCCTCTTGGGAATCATTTGATGCACTGATTTTTGCGGTCTTTCGTCTGAGCACTTCGGGGTGTTTGTCTGTTTATCCTCTGGAGATAATTAGATTTCTCTCTGGTGATAATCCCCCATGGTGACACAGTTCAAGTTGTTAACCAGATCTGTAACCGCAGAGCTACTGGTGCTATGTAAGCGATGCACTACTACCTGGTATATCCCTTTTCACTCAACCCTATTGCTGTATTTACTGAAGCTACCCTAAGGAGGTATATCGGTAGCGTCATTAACAAGCTACAACAACACTGAATTGGTATTAAATTCACCTCGTTAAAATCAACGTGGCTCGCAGCCTCAGTGCGGCAAGAGAAAAGCTCTACGTCAAGCGCTCAAACCAGCGAGACGGAGAACTACACGTGCACACTCGAGACTGCGTCAACCCACACTGAAGGCTCGAGCGGCTGCTGAACCCACGGTAAGACTGGAGAGACCAAGTTGCCAAAGGCCGTATTTCTTCAGTATTGATCACCAGAAATGCTCCCCTCAAAGGTACCATCTATAGAATTAATGCAGCAGTTAATGAGAAGGAAGAATGCAACATGCTTTTCACCATGATGTAACATTACAGCGGCAGAAGAGCAAATCAATAATTCTCCTTCCTCTGGATGTCAGGAGGTAGAGGTGATACGCATGCGCCATCCCTTCGGCGCCTCAACACCGCTGCGGCCCACAAGGAGGAGAATCAATGTGTTTTTCTTTTGCAGGGTTGCACTTGGCCATGGCGGAACTTCCTGGGGGAAACTCGTGGCAATGGTGGAGGAGGCCGAGGAAAAGAACCTGTGGCCAAGAGGCACTGACAAGGGAGACTGAGCCCGGAGTGTCCCATGAAGCGCACCGTGTAATGGCGCACTGGAAAAGATGCCAGGGAGATACACGCTCATTAATTCTTTTACAGTTGCAGCGGACTTGCATAAAATTATATGTGGGAACATAAAGACTGGTCTCATGCGCGCATGAGTTAATGCTTCAAAACTAAGAATTTGTTTTTGCTTATTCATGTAAACCATCCAGGGAAAATATCCCTTTGAGCCGGTCTGCAAGTGTCAAAACACAGCCATTGACTACGAGAGCGACGACTCAAAACTTACCAGATACATTACCATTAGAAAAGGACCTTCGCCTTCGGGCATAATTCTTGTCACTAAAACACACTGCAGATCAACACAGACAGACAAAAATCGATGACAGTACTATACCACCACTGAAAAGTTTTTTAACGTAAACAGAAAATCAAATTAGAGCGAGAGAGAGCAGGGGAGAGTAGCCTAGGATCGTTCCCTGTGAGCTGAGAGTTTGGGGCTTAGCAGTGTCTTGCCCCGACCCATTTAGGTTGTGGTGGTGGTGGTAAGCTCGCTAGTGTGGCGGAGGAGGTCGTTTGTCAGCGGATCACCAGTGGCTCTTCGGGACTGTTGACACGACCTACTGAAGGTCGCACTATGGGGTATTAGGGCTCTTGTATATGGCCCTCTGGGGGGAGGGGTTGTTGGAGGTCCTGGTTTTAGGGTCGTAATGGGTCTCACATAGGTTCTCTTGATGGGATATAAGACCCTTATTTAAGGTCATTTTAAGGCATATATGCAATCCTAAAGGGCCGTCATAGGTATCCTGTAAGCCCGATTTAAGGTAAAATATATTATGGTCTGTAATTTATTTTTTTCTCGGTTCTCTTGTGGGAGTGACTGGGGGGTGAATGAAGCTCCGCCATAGGTCGCCTCAGACTTACCCAGAGCTGCTCATTCTCGCTTCTGATGTCATATTAAGGAGCCCTTCAGTTATCTTGACCTCTAAAGTAAAAAGGGATTATGTTATCGTCTGATTTATATTCCTTTTGTCTGAGGTCGTATATGGAGTTAAGGTGTTGCGTCTATAAGATGTATTCAACTTTCTTTGTGTTTAATCTTGATAAGGATAATGGCCATGGTGGTGGTGGGTGTGGTGGTGATGATGATGATGATGATGATAGTTGTGATAATGGTGGTGATAATAGTGGTGGTGATAATGATGATGGTGGTAGTGAGAATTGTGGTAGTGGTGATGGTGGTAGTGATAATGGTGATGGTGGTGATAATGGTGGGGGTAATAATGGTGAAACTGGTGATTGTGGGTGTGGTGATAGTTGTGATAATGATTATATAAGTGGCAACAAAAGCCATCATTAAAGAATTTAAACTAAGGTGGAAGTTGTCAGGAGAGAGAGAGAGAGAGAGAGAGAGAGAGAGAGAGAGAGAGAGACGTGGCATTAAGAGATACAGGTCTCGTCTCGCTTCTTGGGTAATTGAATATGTAAAGGAATAAAGAGAGTCCAAGGTAAGTTGACTCTGATATTGAAAAGGGGAATTATAAATGGTCACTTGTATCACAATAATTATAATGAAATATTTAATTTATAATGATACTTAATGACTGAATTTCACAATTTCAAATGTATAAAAACCTACAGTCACCCGGGTCCGCTCGCTTGCGAAGCGAGCATGCTGACCACACACACACACACACACACACACACACACACACACACACACACACACACACACACACACACACACACTTCTACAACTACTACTACTTTGCTGTCACTCGGAATCGAGTATGACGATCATCCAGCTATTATACAATGATATGAGTTATTAAAGACGTCACTCTCGTTGGTGAGCTCTCAGGTGACTAGAGAGGCCGATACGGGACCAGCAGGGCCGTCCACAGATGTTGCACATGTGGAGGGGTACATCTAGTGCGGGAGGGGCGGCGGCAGCGTCTTTCCGGCGTTGGCGCTTGTCTGCCTCGTTATGTAGTCGGGCGAACTCGAAAGTAAGGACACCTCGTGTGGTGCTCCTCCAAGCGTTACGGTATTAAGTGATCGTCTCCCAGGTTAGAGGATCGATTTGGCACTTTTCAGGTTTGTCTCAAGACTATCCTTATACCTTTTCAGTTGCCCGCCAGCGTTACCTTTACTATTCGTTGGTGACTGTAAAATAGCTACTTTGGCAGTTTACTGTCGTTCATGTAGGTAACGTGGCCAGTCCAGCATAATTGTTCTTGGATAATGGTAGTGTATTAGCCTCTGCTTAACAGACAGAAATAATTATATAAATGTGGGTTACGTACATTTGGTTTATATTATTACATCACCTACAGTAAATTTCTTATGAGACGCGTGAGTAGTAATCAACTGGAAGTGACAGTGTATTCCAATTTCTCCCTCACACCTTGACTGCAGTCATCAATTAAGTAGCCGGCTATCGCCAGTTCTACTCCCGTCTCTGATCCACTGAGACGTGTGCTCTAAGAAGCTATTTATACCTAAGCTTCATCCCTTATTAACGCTCACAGCTCATAGCTTTATTTTCTTAATAAATGGAGAAAAGACCATTTGGGTTTGAAAACTTAACCCATAAACATTTATGAATGTTGCTTCCAGTTCACCTCTAATCAGTGATTCCAACAGGTAACCGGAAACCGCAACAGTAGCCTCGATGCCCCTACAGTTGGTATCAGCGAGAATACTGGCATTTGTGCTCTTGTTTTCCCAGCGAACTCGGAGATGGAACGTAGACTGCGTTGGTGAAAGTTTTCAATTTCCTTGAGGTGCCTCTGTATGTAACCCATGTCTCACTGTCATATAGCAGGGTAGGGAGGACCACTGCTCGATACACGTGAAACTGTGTAGATATTTCAGCTCCATACAGCTTAAGACACGGGTACAGGGTCTGCCAAAGGCTTGAGATGCACATCTAACCGATGTTGAATCTCTTCATCGATGTCCGCGGTGGTGGGCAGGTGGGAGCCGAGATACCTCAAGTGGTAACATTAGAGAGGACAGTAACTTGAGCTGGATGGATGGTGGAGGTGTGGCTGAACCAGGGGAAAGCTGAAAGAGAATCTGAGTCTTACGAACATTCACGTCAATATTGATATTGAGCCAGTTGAGAGCCTGAGCTCTCTTGTAGGCACCTGGTATATACTGTACATTTATCTCAAGGAAGTATTTTGTAACATTTAGTATCATCTGGAATAGTACACATAACATGGTGGTAATAAGAACATATTAGAATGTTACATTTATAAGTATATACATACTTTACAGTGGAGTTGATATACATAAATATGTTAAGGGAGGGAAGTAATATAACATAGGTTATATTCAGTTGGAACAAGAGGACAGAGCTGTCAGTAACATGTCTAGTTGGCTAATATATTTATTGCAATGGTATTTTCTATCTATCTACATGATAATTGGTTATACAATAAAAGCAGGTATTACAAAAACTATTTATACTTAGACAATAGATATTTTTTAAGAGATGATTTAAAGGAAGGGAGCGTAGTCTTTGCTGGGATGGGTGGGGGTAAGTTGTTCCACACCTTCACACCGTGATATTTTATGGAGGTCTGGGACTGAGAGGAGCGTATGGAGGGTGGTCTTAGTAGCTCTGGGTGCCTAAAGTTGTATCTCTGATTATTGCGGAACTGGAAATAAGTATTGTCAAGCAAGTGATTGACAGATTAGTAAACAAATAGGACAGAGCAGTTGGTGTAGGTGTTCAGGATCTCCTGTAGGTCGCGTTCAGTGTGATCGACGAGGGTGAGGTCGTTTGCATACTGAAGTACACACACACACACACACACATACACACACACATACACACACACACACACACACACACACACACACACACACACACACACACACACACACACACACACACACTGTATTTTATATATACTTATAAATAAGAAATAGAGATCACTTGTCTAAATAAAAATAACTAGTCACATTTATTAAGAAACTAAATAAAGTTCAAGGGTCACTTGTGTAAAAAAAAAAAATAATAATAATAATAATAATAGTCCCAAGAGCCATGAGCGGTGAATGAGACAAGCCGTGTGGTCGAGCGATGATTTATACGATTAAGAAGTTAAAAGCGCAAGATTTGTGAGTGAAAAGGAGATGTTTTATGGATGAGAGCCACAGTAAGGGCATGTGTGTGAGAGAAAGAGAGAAAGTGGGAATGAGATCTCCATGATGAACGTGTGGGTAGAGAGAGAGAGAGAGAGAGAGAGAGAGAGAGAGAGAGAGAGAGAGAGAGTGACCATGGCCAGTAGGAGCATGAGATCTCCCGGAGGACTGCGTGGGAGGAGAAGTAAATAAATTGGTCTTCCATTTTCTGACTCGGTCTCATGAAAGTGACATATAAACAAGGTGACCGAGGGTGTTTTGATCTCTTTATACTGTATATGATTGGTTTTGGTGAGGTAAGAGAGGGGGCATCCTAACTTCCTAACTTGACATTACTTGAATCCATACCCTAACTTAACCTCCTCTAAACCCTAACATAACATAACCTAACCCAATCTAACCTAACCTAAGTTGAAACCCCACCCTAACTTAACTCTTACCCTAACCTACCAAAACTTGATCTAACTACTGGACGTGTCATATGAAAATTCCTAAAAAAATAGAAAATATACTGATATATAAAATAAAATAATAAATTTAATAATTATGAAAGCAAAACGAGAGAAAAATACGTAATTTATTCCCTCCAGTTTACAGGAAAAAAACTCTTATAATTTATTTTTTTTATAAAAGAGGTTAACGTGTACAGAAATTAAATCTGATAGCGAAGTTTAATTCTCTTAGACCTGTGAAATATTGGCAATAGAAAAAAAATATGAAGCAATATAAAATAAACTAAAAATTGACTTCAGTAAAGGAATCACCCGGTAAATAAATTCAACTTTTTTTTCCTATTTATTCATGAAAGATAAATCTG